GCCCCCGAGAGTATGTCAAGCACCCGAGAATGCAGGGCGGTCAGCTCCTCTGATATCCCTGAAGCAGCCACACATGAAGGCTCCATATCTCTGGGTTCGGGTGCCACACCGAGCCACTCGTTTGAGACAGCAGATCCTACCTGATGGAGATCGGCCAGGGCGGTGCCACCAGCAGCTCTGTCAGGGGTCCTGGAACCAAGGCTGGTTCGGCCAGTTCGGGTCAACGAGTATCCGAAGTCCCCTCCTCCCTGATTTTGCATAACACCAGCGGCAATGTCTTGATCGGAGGAAAAGCATACAGCCTGGCTGCTGGCCAGCACGATGTCACAGCATCTCCTTCCAGCGGGGAGTGAGACAGAGAGAAGAACAGCGGGCAATGCGCATTCTCGCTCGTCACGAACAAGTCCACCTCCACTGTTCAAAGCAGCCCCAAAGCATCTGAACTGGCTCAGCATGCAACCTCCACTCTCCTTGATACATCCCCTTCCTCGAAAGCATGTCCGCCTTGCATTTCAGGAGACCAGGGATGTGCGCTGCTCTGATGGAGAGAAAGTGACTGTTCGCCCATAACAGGAGATTCGCTGCCTGCTTGTACAACACCATGGAGCACACACCCCCCTTGGTGATTTATGTACAAAACCACAGACATGTTGTTGGTGCGAATCAGTACCAGGCCGCTGTTATAGCTGTGGCCGAAAATCCTTTAGCGCTAAGAACACTGCTTCCAGCTCCAAGTGGTGGAGGTTCTGACCACAGCCCCGTAGCCGGCATGCCTTCGCACACTGCAGTCGATGCATCCGTCATGACCACAATGGGCGACATCACCAAGCCCAGGGGAACCCCCCGGCTAAAGAAATCCGGGTTGCGCCACAGCCTCAGAGCTTTGACCGCGATGCGCAAACGGCCCGAAGTCCACGCCCTCCATGGGACTCGAGATTTCAGCCATAACTGCAGCGGGCGCATGTGTAGTAAACCCAGATGATATACCACTGCTGCTGCTGCCATGAGTCCCAGCAGCCTCTGAAATTCCTTCAAGTGAACAGAGCTGCCCAGTCTGAAATAGCGCATTGAAGAGGCGGGCGCGCATCTCCACCGAGTTGAAACACACTCCCAAATATGTAATGGACTGACTCGGGGCAAGAATGCTCTTCTGTATGTTGACACATAGCTCTAGGGACTCCAGCAGTGTGTCTATAAGGCTGACTAGTGTGTCCCATTAATGCGCTAAAATCAGCCACTCATCCAGATAGAGATTACGCATCCCGCTTGGTCTGAGGGGCGCGAGAGCGTCCATGCACTTCGAGAAAGTGCGTAGGGCTAAAGCCAGCCCAAATGGGAGAACAGAGTACTGGTACGCTGTGCCCTCGAAAGCAAACCTCAGAAAGCCTCTGTGATGCGGAGCTATTTGAATGTGAAAGCTCAGCAGTCACGTAACTACAGGTGGGCCTGGGCCCACCCACCTGTCAGTCAGGCCCACCCAAGTCAGTTGCTTCAGAAGATAGCCTAATCATTGTGAATTCTGTTGCAATAATCACAATACTTTACCTATAAAAATAAAGTGTTGTTGCTTTTTCTTGTTTGCCATATAATGATGAAGATAAGTTTGCGAACATCCCCTTAGCTACAGCAGAGATCGCTGGATGCCGTTACATATGCCTTTGTCCATATTAGGGTTTTCCTGGCATGTCACGTTACTTCTATGAGTCCATTTTGAGCTTTCTGCGTGAGAGCGCCCTCCGGCTTCGAGTATGAATGAAACATCCCTGCATATTCCACGCTCAAGGAGCTGAACACCTCTGCTAGTGCTAACGTTAATTCACATATTTCTCCATCACCAGCAGCACTCCATTCTCTAAAGGCTACCACACCCACCTACACACCAGTGTACAGGTACAAAAATCTACATTTTCCTAACGTTAGTTACCTAGTGTCTGTTGTTTATTTCATGTGGTTTATGTGGCTGCTGAGCCAGACTAAGACCAAACATGAGTTTTACATACTGTCCATCACTACCGTCCTGCTGATTTGATGATGGTGTTGTGTTGCGTCTGTCAGATGCACGTGTGTGTGGCGTGGCCGCCGTGCTCATGCTGTTCTTATCATTATTTTTTTAACACTGCTTATGATTACAAACAGGCTTATGCTCTGATTAAACGGTGATGTAAATTCAAGCAGGTGTAACTGTTAGTTGTGTTGGCCTATTTTCATAACAGATGTATTTTAGGCTAGGCCCACCCAATTTTCTCTGGGCCCACCCACATTGTAATTCCTGGCTACACTAGTGGTGCTCAGGAACTGACATAGTGGCTTTAGCGGCTTGGTCGTTGGATGCGCTGGCGAGTGCTGCGTGGCTATAACCTGTGTGGGTGGCGGCTCTGTGGCGGGGCGAGCAGTGCCGCATTGACTGAGGAGGGAAAAGCTCTTTTTGTGCGAATGTATGTAGTTTTATAAAACATGTGCTCATCAAACACAAATTTGAACAATTCTGAGACAGTTTGCGGCGCTTGGTGGATGGGCCGCTCTCGCACTCTTCCCCCTCTCCGGGCTGTCAGGACGACGGCTTGGCAGCTGACAGCGGGCGGGAGTCATGGTGTGGTCTCCTCTGCTGGCCGTGGCACCTCCTCCCGAGACCCCACACCTTCCTCCGCACATCCGGCTCCTGGCGAGGGGCAGTGTTTTATACTACCTCTCGAGCTTGTCAGTATTTGCATGCGATTTGCATACTTTGCAACAATTGGCCAGTCAACTGAACTGCCATGAGCCAATAGGACTTTTAAGAAAAGTTGGAAGGGAAGGAGTTCCCATAAGCAGAGAAAAGCTCTGCGATGTTGAGTGAAGCTTGAGAGGGAACCGCTGGCCTTCAAAGTGTTAGGAATTAAATGGCACGTATAATGTCACTGTACCTGACAGATCATACTGGGTTTGGCTGCTTATCATGGTCCAGTAATCTTCTGCTGCTAGATGCTGTAACGTCATCCTAAACGATTCTTTCTGGCAGTTTCTATCACTTACCTTGGCTGCATTTCCCAAAAGCATCATAAGCTTGAGACTGCCAGTATATTCATTTATTAAAGGAGTAGTTCACACAAAAAGAAAAAAGAAACACACCCTCAAGCCATCCCAGATGTAGATGAGTTTGTTTCTTTATCAGATTTAATAAATGAATATACTGGCAGTCTCAAGCTTATGATGCTTTTGGGAAATGCAGCCAAGGTAAGTGATAGAAACTGCCAGAAAGAATCGTTTAGGATGACGTTACAGCATCTAGCAGCAGAAGATTACTGGACCATGATAAGCAGCCAAACCCAGTATGATCTGTCAGGTACAGTGACATTATACGTGCCATTTAATTCCTAACACTTTGAAGGCCAGCGGTTCCCTCTCAAGCTTCACTCAACATCGCAGAGCTTTTCTCTGCTTATGGGAACTCCTTCCCTTCCAACTTTTCTTAAAAGTCCTATTGGCTCATGGCAGTTCAGTTGACTGGCCAATTGTTGCAAAGTATGCAAATCGCATGCAAATACTGACAAGCTCGAGAGGTAGTATAAAACACTGCCCCTCGCCAGGAGCCGGATGTGCGGAGGAAGGTGTGGGGTCTCGGGAGGAGGTGCCACGGCCAGCAGAGGAGACCACACCATGACTCCCGCCCGCTGTCAGCTGCCAAGCCGTCGTCCTGACAGCCCGGAGAGGGGGAAGAGTGCGAGAGCGGCCCATCCACCAAGCGCCGCAAACTGTCTCAGAATTGTTCAAATTTGTGTTTGATGAGCACATGTTTTATAAAACTACATACATTCGCACAAAAAGAGCTTTTCCCTCCTCAGTCAATGCGGCACTGCTCGCCCCGCCGCAGAGCCACCACCCACACAGGTTATAGCCACGCAGCACTCGCCAGCGCATCCAACGACCAAGCCGCTAAAGCCACTATGTCAGTTCCTGAGCACCACTAGTGTAGCCAGGAATTACAATGTGGGTGGGCCCAGAAAAAATTGGGTGGGCCTAGCCTAAAATACATCTGTTATGAAAATAGGCCAACACAACTAACAGTTACACCTGCTTGAATTTACATCACCGTTTAATCAGAGCATAAGCCTGTTTGTAATCATAAGCAGTGTTAAAAAAATAATGATAAGAACAGCATGAGCACGGCGGCCACGCCACACACACGTGCATCTGACAGACGCAACACAACACCATCATCAAATCAGCAGGACGGTAGTGATGGACAGTATGTAAAACTCATGTTTGGTCTTAGTCTGGCTCAGCAGCCACATAAACCACATGAAATAAACAACAGTCACTAGGTAACTAACGTTAGGAAAATGTAGATTTTTGTACCTGTACACTGGTGTGTAGGTGGGTGTGGTAGCCTTTAGAGAATGGAGTGCTGCTGGTGATGGAGAAATATGTGAATTAACGTTAGCACTAGCAGAGGTGTTCAGCTCCTTGAGCGTGGAATATGCAGGGATGTTTCATTCATACTCGAAGCCGGAGGGCGCTCTCACGCAGAAAGCTCAAAATGGACTCATAGAAGTAACGTGACATGCCAGGAAAACCCTAATATGGACAAAGGCATATGTAACGGCATCCAGCGATCTCTGCTGTAGCTAAGGGGATGTTCGCAAACTTATCTTCATCATTATATGGCAAACAAGAAAAAGCAACAACACTTTATTTTTATAGGTAAAGTATTGTGATTATTGCAACAGAATTCACAATGATTAGGCTATCTTCTGAAGCAACTGACTTGGGTGGGCCTGACTGACAGGTGGGTGGGCCCAGGCCCACCTGTAGTTACGTGACTGCTGAGCTTTCACATTCAAATAGCTCCGCATCACAGAGGCTTTCTGAGGTTTGCTTTCGAGGGCACAGCGTACCAGTACTCTGTTCTCCCATTTGGGCTGGCTTTAGCCCTACGCACTTTCTCGAAGTGCATGGACGCTCTCGCGCCCCTCAGACCAAGCGGGATGCGTAATCTCTATCTGGATGAGTGGCTGATTTTAGCGCATTAATGGGACACACTAGTCAGCCTTATAGACACACTGCTGGAGTCCCTAGAGCTATGTGTCAACATACAGAAGAGCATTCTTGCCCCGAGTCAGTCCATTACATATTTGGGAGTGTGTTTCAACTCGGTGGAGATGCGCGCCCGCCTCTTCAATGCGCTATTTCTGACTGGGCAGCTCT